GTGTCAATAATTTGAGTGTTGTATTCTAGATTATTTGAAGGACTTTTGAAGAGAATGGAGATGTCATCAGCAAACAGTACACATAGATGGTCGCATATTTTCGGCAGGTCATTGATATAGATGAGGAAGAGTATACAGCCTATCACGCTGCCTTGTGGTATAGACCAGTTTGTAGTTAAGGTATCCGACTGTACATTTAAAAGTTCACTTGTGTCATAGTTTAGGTAGTCTATTTGTACGCACTGTTGTCTATCTGCGAGGTAGGACCTAAGCCATTCCAGTATATCTCCTCTGATACCAACTCCATCTAACTTTTTCAATAGGATCGAATGGTTCACTTTATCATATGCTTTGGACATATCAAGTAGGAGACCTATGGCATAGTTTTTGTCTTTGATATATGTCAGGATTTCCTGTGTGTATTTATAAACGGCTAGTGTGGTTGAACGATGTTCTCGGAATCCAAATTGGTTATTGTCTAGAATGTTATATTTTTCAAAAAATTTAGTCATGCGTTTAGTAATAACTTTTTCGAATATTTTCGAGAAAGCGGGTAGTAAGGCTATTGGTCTGTATTGGCTAGGATCGGTTAGGTTCCCACCCTTTTTTGGTATAGGTTTAATTTTGCAATTTTTAATCGGACGGAAATGTTTTTTTTTAAAAGATTGGTTTATAAGGTAAGTTACCGGAGGAGTGAGTTCCAAAGCACATGATTTTATTAATGTTGAGGGTATTTCATCAATGCCACAACTCTGTTTGCTTGCAAGGTTTTCGATGATTTCAAGTATCTCACTTTCTGTGACGGAATCTAGGAACATAGAATTAACAGTAGGTGTGATTACTGCGTGGTCGTTAGATAGTTGTGTGGTGTTGTTTTGCTATCTATATCTTAAGGTGTATATCTTAAGGTTTAATGAATAATTTTGTTTACAACTTATGGCAGTAAATTGTAACCCACCAGTGGGTGGATAACCAGGATAACCTATCAGTACTAATAATACCTAGTTACTCTTTTGAAGTCGGTTTTTAAAAACCGTTTTTTTTATTAATTTTTTGCTTTTTTTTAGGCTGGCTACTACCTTGGGTATAGGTTAAGCATTGCCATTCAACGTGGCAATGCTGCCAGTCTTTTGGGCACCCTACCTCACGGTAATGATGAGGAAAATGTTTTCTTTGATGCCTTATGATATAATTTTTTTAAGGTGTAAATATTTTAGTTTTAAATTATTTATATTTTAAGTTGTATATATTAATAATCTCATAATATCCATAAATCTAATAAATGGTTACACAACTTTACTTTTTAGATTTCTTTATTTATTTATTTAGATTTAATTTTTACTTTTTTGATTTAGTGTACACTTATAATCCACACAGGCGTCAAATTCTAACCAATACAAATTATACAAGCCCAAACACGAGGTAGTTACTGTAAACCGTTGAGGAGTTCCCTCGACTATCTGTCGGCTCCATGATCAGGTCAACCCAGAAGCTTATCAAATTGTAGTATTTAAAAACTTTATAAAAACAATCATAGATAATTATTACTCGCCCCTAAAATAGGTTTCCCTAAGATTGCATCATCAGATCCTGACCTAGTGAAAATAGGACCCTCTCAAGAGTATATCCTATCAAACAAAAACAGAATTTTAGAAATCTGTTCACAAATGGCGGAGTAATCGTACATAGTACCTCCTCTTTTTTGGATGTCGGGTAAAATCTATACTAATATTATAAAGCTGAAGTTTGATTTTTTTTTTTTTTGTTTGAACGCGCTAATCTCCGTAACTACAAGTCTGATCTGAATAATTCTTTTTGTGTTGGATAGCGCATTTATCGAGGATGGCTATAGGCTATAAAACATCACGCTGCGACCAATTTTTTTTTTATGTGTGGGAAAATCATTGAATTACCGCTCCCGCCTGGGTGAGGCGGAAGGGAGTGTCAGCCTCTTACTGACTAACAACCACCCCGTTCCTTCTCCTGCACGTCGAGCCGGAGCCCCGGTTACCCGTTAGGTTCTCCGCCACACGCTACGACCAATAGGAGCCGAGCAGAGCGTGTGAAACCGCGCGGAGGTAGCTAGTAAGAAATATAATGAGTACATACCCTTATCAAGCACGCAGTATGACAGGTAAGACTGATCTTCCGATGTAGCGCGGCGTCGTGCGGCAGTGCCGCGTCGTGCGCCGGGTCTGTGGGACCCGCCACGTTGCGAGTGCAGGCCGCTCGAATCTCGCGTGTGATGCGACGCGTTAAAGCGGTCTCCGAGTCCTCCGCGAGAAGAGTCGAGGATTCCTAGAAGATATTTCTATATTGTCAATCTTATCAATTTCAAAAAGACTGCCTCGTTGGCCGAGTAGTCGCAAGTGCGACTGCCGGGCAAGGGGTCTCAGGTTCGATTCCCGGGTCGGGCAAAGTATTACTGGGTTCTTTTTAATTTCTCAGTAGTAGCACGGAGTCTGAAAATGTGCACGGTATATGGCAATAGACTCACCCCCTATTACATGGGACTCGTAACATAAACAGTGAAAAGTGGGTGTTACATTGTACAGTGGCATTAAGTGCCGAAATGTGCCTACCCCTTCGGGGATAAAAAGGCATAATGTTATGTTATGTATGCCGGAATACTAAAACGTTACTTAATTTTAAGTCGTGCTTAAATATCGTGCCATCTCTGTCATTTTACAAAGAATTTGTAGAGATAGAACTAAACTTAAGCGTGACTTAACCTGTTGAAATCTATCCCCTAAATTTGGTCATACAAAAGTAGTCTCTAAGCATTGGAAATAAGGTCTATAATGTAATGTAATATTAGGGGAGAGCGGTCACCGGTGACCACTATGGGTTAAAATTGAGTAGTGTTTGAGTATTCCGACGGTAATGTTTTAAAATGTATACAAACTTGATTAGGCGGCTCGTCTAGATCAATTTGTGTGAGCGTGGAGTTGTCCTTCATAGCGTTCAGTAGTAACTGTAGACCAGCCGCGCCCAGTCGATTCTCGCGGAGATCTAGTCTCTGTAAATATAAACATACTAGCTTTTACCCGCGGCTTTGCTCGCGTCACAAAAGGATAAAAAGTAGCCTATGTGACATATACCAATCTATACCTATTTTTTGTTTTATCTCGAGAATATCAATTTTTCCGGGATAAAAAGTACCCTATTATTTAATCCAGACTTCTAACTTTACGTCTGCAAAAATTCAAAGCCATCGGTGTAGTAGTTACGGCGTAAACGCGGAACAAACAAACAAACAAACTCACTTTCCGATTTATAATATTAGTAAGGATTAAGGCAAGTAAGTTACCTGTAGTTTGGTGTCGGCCCGTATGAGTTCGGCCAGCGGCTGCGCGGCGTCCGCCCCCAGGCGCGCGGCCTGCAGCCCCAGCGACACCAGCGCGGCCGCGCGGCCCAGCGCGCGCACGCCGTCGCTGCCCAGCGCGTTGCGGCCCACGTTCAGCACGCACAGCGACTGGGACGAGCGCTGCACACATACATTATGACACACTGCACGGCCGCGCGGCCCAGCGCGCGCACGCCGTCGCTGCCCAGCGCGTTGCGGCCCACGTTCAGCACGCACAGCGACTGGGACGAGCGCTGCACACATACATTATGACACACTGCACGGCCGCGCGGCCCAGCGCGCGCACGCCGTCGCTGCCCAGCGCGTTGCGGCCCACGTTCAGCACGCACAGCGACTGGGACGAGCGCTGCACACATACATTATGACACACTGCACGGCCGCGCGGCCCAGCGCGCGCACGCCGTCGCTGCCCAGCGCGTTGCGGCCCACGTTCAGCACGCACAGCGACTGGGACGAGCGCTGCACACATACATTATGACACACTGCACGGCCGCGCGGCCCAGCGCGCGCACGCCGTCGCTGCCCAGCGCGTTGCGGCCCACGTTCAGCACGCACAGCGACTGGGACGAGCGCTGCACACATACATTATGACACACTGCACGGCCGCGCGGCCCAGCGCGCGCACGCCGTCGCTGCCCAGCGCGTTGCGGCCCACGTTCAGCACGCACAGCGACTGGGACGAGCGCTGCACACATACATTATGACACACTGCACGGCCGCGCGGCCCAGCGCGCGCACGCCGTCGCTGCCCAGCGCGTTGCGGCCCACGTTCAGCACGCACAGCGACTGGGACGAGCGCTGCACACATACATTATGACACACTGCACGCGGTTAGGTTCTCCGCGACTCCGTATCGGCATCGGCCCTGTTGGGCCCCATCCGTGGTGATCTGATGGCTCTTTGAGGCGCGCGCGGAACGCGACGCGCCGTACGCTCGGGTCTGTTTTTGGTCAGACGGGGTGCCACCCATGCTCGCCGTCCTCCGGCCCGGGCTTACGGTGGCCGGAGATCGTCCCGCGATCCCCGACGCCCGGTGTGTCCTTCGCGATGGCTGGGTTGCGAGGAGGCAGCGCTTCGCTGCCTCACGCGTCCCGCCTCCTCCTTAGCTAGCATGACTGCTTCGGAACAGCAAAAAGGAGGAGACGGCATCCCAGTCCCCCTCGCTCCGCATCATGGCCTGCACTAGGCCCGGACGCGAGAGGTCGCCATCGCCGATCACTTCCCTGAGGGCACGGCGGTGCTCAGCCCACCCAGGGCATTCTCCCACTGTGTGTTCCACCGTGTCCTCAGGGCGGTCCTCGCAGTGATGACACCCGGGCGTTTCCTCCCGCCCCATCAGACACAGGTACCTCCCGAAACTTCCATGTCCGGTGAGGACCTGCGTCAAGCGGTAGGTGAGGACGCCGTAGCGTCTCTCAAGCCACTCCTCAAAGAGGGGACTTACCGCTGCGATGGCAGCGAGCCCAGCCCTCGGTTGCGACAGTCGTTGCTGCCATTCCGCCATGAGATCGCGCCGGAGCTCATCCCGCCACGCACTTATCTGGCGCGGCAGCGGAGTTTCGCCCGGCGGTAATCCGGCAGTCCCTAAGTATTCTTAGATCTTTAAAACTACGCAACGCATTTTGATGCGGTTTTAAATAGACAGAGCGATTCTTAAGGAGGGTTTATATGTATAATACATGCATACTGCACCCGTGCGAAGCCGCGGCGGGTCGCTAGTAAATAATATACTCACCAACGCTTTACTGAGATATGGTGCACAATTTCTAGTCAGTTGATTGTTCCATAGAACTAAAAACGCCAGTCCCCGCGCGTCGTGACCTCCCACTGAAATCATACAATATACCATCGTCAGTTTAACCGCAGATTTTTTAATCATCAGATAATAGGGTAGATGAGAAATTTTATTTTTTATGTCCGTCTGGTAGATTATTTAAAAACATTAGACACGTATATTTTATTTTCTTACGGAAACGAATACTTTTGAAGATATATTGATTTGAAATGTCGCGTGACGTCACTTCTCAGTACATTTTATACTAAGAAATGACGTTTTGGCCCCCACTCCTAAACTTTGATTCGTTTTATCTAAATATTGTTTTCTTATACGACAAAATAAAAAAATACGTGTGTAATATATTTTCATTATCTAACTGACGGACTAATTAGATTTTTAATTGTCATACACTGTCTACTGCCCTATTGTTAAATGTAGGATAAAATTAACATTTGACAGTTTTTAGTATGGAAGAATTGTCAATTAATATTCAAAGTTATTCCTGATTAAATTTAACTGGTTACTAAACAAACAAAATCTCGGATCAAACTTGTCCTTAACAAAAAACGGAGTTAACAATGTGTTTACCCTGACATCGATGCGGCGACAGTGGCGAAGCTGCCGCAGAAGGCGGGGACTGAGCCGCTTGTTCAGCTAAAGCATCAGCCAAGTGGGCTGTTCCAGCGTCCTGGAAAATATCAACAATGATTTGTTTAAAGGTAGAAATAAATATATTTGTCAAAGTCAAAGTCAAAGCATTTATTTCAATTAAACCATAGTTTGGTACTTTTGAAACGTCAACAAATACAAAATAAATAATAGTCTATCAGTCAGTCCGTCAGTGAACCTAGGTGAAGCTAGGTGCTCATTCCAAAATGTAGATTCGAATGGAGAAGAACGAGCAAGAAACTCCATAGGTTACTCTTTTTCAATCGGGTTTACAATGCAATTCTCTAGTTACATAGTTTGCTGGTTCGATTTTGTGAGAACAATGCAACACCTAAATCCAGTACAAGAGATTGAAAAAGAAAATAACCTTGTTGATAGTAAAATCATACGGTCTGGACAGTTTGACGTTTCAAAAGTGCCTAAGGATTGATTGCATTGACTTTGACTAGGTCAAGTGCATTTCTTTTGCAAATAGGCTACAAAATAACACTTTTACACGTTGATTATAGCCGTGGTGAACTTAACGGGTTGCCGGGGCTCCGGCTCGACGTGCAGGAGAAGGAACGGGGTGGTTTTTAGTCAGTAAGAGTCTGACACTCCCTTCCGCCTCACCCAGGCGGGAGAAGTCATTCGATGATTTTCCCCCCTTAAAAAAAACACCTTGGAATGATGCCTTGAAGCAACTAGCTTCAATTCTAAATTTTTTTTGTTGTTCGACGTTCAAAAGTGCATTCCTGGGCTAATTGAAATAAATGATTTTGACTTTGACTTGAATTTGACTTCAAAAATTGAATTGTCCGTCCGTCTGTCCGTCAGTGAAGCTAGACAATCATCTACCGATATATCGCTTACCTGTATAATGTTATTGGAGAGGTCCAACAGTTGTATGCGTGTGTTGTACCGCAGGAGTGACGCTAGTTGCGCCGCGTCCGACACCCCGAGCCGGTTGTCGCATAGTCGCAGCTCTCTTATAGAACTGTTCGATTTCAGAGCTATCACTGAAAATAATAAACAAAAATGTCAGATAAAGGTTAATTCGGTGGAAATGATCGAGTGAAAAAATAGTCATATTAACATCACGCCTTTTATCCCCAAAGGGGTAGGCAGAGGTGCACATTATGCCACTGTACAATGTAACACCCACTTTTCACTATTTATGTTATGAGTCCCATGTAATAGGGGGTGAGCCTATTGCTATATACCGGGCACAATTCCAGACTCCGTGCTACTACTGAGATTTATTTTTAAACCCAGTAATATTTTGCCCGACCCGGGAATCGAAACCAAGACCACTCGGCCAACGAGGCAGTCAATATTATTTTACTAGCTTATAAAGCAAACACATATCGTCGGGCATAGTGAATACGCCTTCGGGGATAAAAGGCGTGATGTTATGTGTGAAATAATATTATAATTACTTTTTTTTAAATGGGACAGGCCCGCCACAGCCTCCCAAACCCACTGCAACTCCTGTAAGCCAGGATCTACAGTAGATACAACCATGAAAATACCAGAACACTGAAGTCCGGCGCGTCCCAGGGACATGAATAACTGTCTTGGTTCCCGCAACGAAGTGAATTAGAAGATATTATAAGAGGAGAAGAAGAAAAAACTATGGTTTCCACTTCCCTCGGTGAATTACTGCAGGAGACAGAATGAATTAAGCCTGAAGGCACAAAGAAGAGACTAAAGCCCAGTCGCCAAGCACCACGGAAATTTGACTAAAAACTAAACGCACGGAAATTTGTTCTAGATTCCACAAGGTCCGTATAATAAGCTACACCTGACGAAACAATTAAATTATTCAACATAGTGTTACATTCATACTGCCAGAGATCACACTCCCAGAGTATGTGATGGGCCGACTGCTCGTATTGCAACTCCACTGTCGAACATTGGCACCATGGTGAATCAACAAGTTTAAATGAGAACAATTTGCTTTTAAAGTTGCCGTGGCCAGTAAGAAATTGGGCAACACATTGATCCACCTCCAACCATGTCCTCTCCAGCCGGTCATGCACGGATGGGAGGAACTGATATAGGTGGCGGCCCTTAATAGAAGATGCCCATTATAATTACTTACCTAAACATAACAAAGGTTCCCCGGTGAGACACACCCGCTGCAAGCTCAGCGCTCTTAAGGTGCAGGTATGTGCTCTTATGGACCGAGCCAAAACTGGGGCATGAGAAGCTTCTAGCGGCGCGTCCGATATCTCCAGCTCTGACAGGTCAGCACTCTGTAATAAAAAGATTAAATAAAAGTCATTAATAATATCGTATTGTACGAAGAGACCACCGAACAAGTACCCCATGAAGTTTATTTGGATTAGGCCCGTGAACTTCATATTATCACCGAAATTTGTATAATTTCGACAGAAAAGAAATACCTTAGAATAATAAAAATAAATAGTACCTATCCTTATCCTTACTATAATACTATACTATATCCTTACTAATATTATAAATCGGAAAGTGAGTTTGTTTGTTTGTTTGTTCCGACTTCACGCCATAACTACTAAACCGATTGCTTAGAATTTTTGCAGACGTAAAGTTAGAAGTCTGGATTTAATAATAGGATACTTTTTATCCCAAAAAAACTTTGATATTCCCGAGGGAAAACAAAAGTATTGGTATAGATGACGCTGTGTATATTGGCTTATGTCACCCTATGTGACTACTTTTTATCATTTTGTGACGTGACCGAAGCCGCGGGTAAAAGCTAGTATATATATAAATGAAACCCGTTTCCCATTGTCACCCAATAACTTGACAACGGCTAGCCCGATTTGGCAGATTTTTTGTTGTGTTTGTTATTGTCAGGAGAAGGTTTTGATGACAGAAAAATGTTCTGAAAATCCAACGGAAACGGGAGAAAACGGGATTGCGCGTACGAAGTCGCAGAAGCTAGTCTTAAATACCTTTTTAATCATCCTAGAAGCGGCCTGCCACCCTCGGATGCCAAATTGCCGGGGCCCAGCAATAGACAATATCGTTGCACTCTCATAATACTCCGTCATGTCGAATAACGCCTCCTGAAAAATTAAATAACAAATATTAATCAATCTGCCTGCGTAATGCGACTGCCTCATTGGCCGAGTGGTCGCAAGTGCGACTTCCGGGCAAGGGGTCTCGGGTTCAATTCCCGGGTCGGGCAAAGTATTACTGTGTTTATAAAAACTTCAATAGTAGCACGGAGTCTGGAAATGTGCCCGGTATATGACAATAGGTTCACCCGCTATTACATGGGACTCATAACATAAATAGAGAAAAGTGGGTGTTACATTGTACAGTGGTATAATGTGCACCTCTGCCTACCCCTTCGAGGATAAAAGGCGTGATGTTATGTATGTATGTATGTATAAAAAATACGTATCTTGTGTGTTAAAATAATCTACCAGACGGAAATTGAAATAAAATTTTAATATACCACCCTGTCGACACTTGTGAATTATAATTATATGCGGATGTGAGTATGTGTGTAAAACAAAGCAAGCGTTGTTTCCCGCCGGTTTGCAGTGAGGCCGTAATATTAATGGGGATGATGACAGGGTATGAAAATTAAAAATATAATTAGTCCGTAAGTTAGGTAATGAAAAAATATTAGACATGTATTTTTTTATTTTGTCGTATAATAAAACAATACTGAGATAAAACGAATCAAAGTTTAGGAGTGGGGGCTAAAACGTCATTTCTTAGTATAAAATGTACTGAGAAGTGACGTCACGCGACATTTCAAATCAATATATCTTCGAAACTATTCGTTTCCGTAAGAAAATAAAAAATACGTGTCTAATGTTTTTAAATAATCTATCAGACGGACATTAAAATAAAAATTAGTCGTCTACCCCATTGGTATTAAAAATATACCGTCTCAAAACGTTAATGGCTTTTAGATTATTTTCGAGTTCATGAATCACTTCAAATCGTAACTGGTAGGTCCCGAAATAGATGCGAAACTCGTAAATATAAGAATGCTTACAGTACGTACGAACCTGTTTTTATAATAACTATCGTGAGACATAGTAATTTAACTAAAAATCGCGAGTTACTCACGTGAATATACTGAGAAAAGCTCTACTAATTTTGAACCACAGAGGGGTTCTTCCTCATGAGCAGCGTGCGCGATCGCAGCGATATCGCGCAGGTTACTACCTCTGTCGCTTCCGCAATAAGCAATTACCCCCCTCCCCAACAATAATCAAATTCCTAATCCCCAAAAGGCCGGTAACGGACTTGTAACATCTCTGGTGTTTCGGGCGAAGCCGATTGTTTACCATCAGGTCATTCGTCTGCTCGTTTACCGGCTTATTCCATAAAAAAGATAGTAAGATGAACTCACCGCTCCCTCATCATCAATGATGCAGTGTTCGATCTCCAGCCTCCTGAACTGGACTTTCCTCATGATGGCTTCTAAAGCGTCAACTGCTGCAGCGCCGGACAGCGAGCATTCAGCGAGAGTGAGGCGCGGCGCTCGACTTCCACCACCTATGGATTCATCTGGCAGTTCCTGGAATGAAAATACAAAGTTTAATTATTATAGATAGGACATATTTTTTTATGTAGGTATAGTGCTGACCCGGCAAACTTCATATTGCCTCAAACATTTTTGACGTGACAACGTCTTATAAATTGTTTTGCCGGGTGACACTTCAAGAAACTGCGTTACGCTCCGCTCACGTTATGCGCTCACAATGAGAGCGAATGAGAGGCACGCGTCCCTTCCACTCGGGCATGGTTAGCCCGCCTAAGAGCGAGAGAGACAGAGCGAGAGAGAGAGAGAGAGAGAGAGAGTGAGAGAGATAGGCATACACACCGGTTCATGTCTTGGTCCTTTGCATAAATTAATGTTTTAAATATAATTCTTTGTATAAATAAATGTTTTAAATTGTTACTATTATTTCATCCTTCTTCCTACTATACGAATGAATATTCACATTAAAATTATTTTATCACTCAAAGTCGTTGTCACGTAAAACTTTCGCCCGTATACCGACTTTACAGGCAACCAATTTTTAAATATAATTCTTTGTATAAATAAATGTTTTAAATTGTTACTATTATTTCATCCTTCTTCCTACTATACGAATGAACATTCACATTAAAATTATTTTACCACTCAAAGTCGTTGTCACGTAAAACTTTCGCCCGTATACCGACTTTACAGGCAACCAATTTTTAAATATAATTCTTTGTATAAATAAATGTTTTAAATTGTTACTATTATTTCATCCTTCTTCCTACTATACGAATGAACATTCACATTAAAATTATTTTACCACTCAAAGTCGTTGTCACGTTTTTCGCCCGTATACCGACTTTACAGGCAACCAATTTTTTCTCGCCTTTTAAACCTTCCAGCTGGACTCTCTCGAACAAGACCAAAATTAGACATTTCGATTCAGCCGTTCTCGAGTTTTAGCGAGATATTATTTGGTTGGTACTATGGACCTGTGGCGCCCTCGTTGATTTTTTGTTTGTCCTCATTGGACTGCCTCGGGCGATAGGTCTCGGGTTCGATTCCCGGGTCGGGCAAAGTATTACTGGGTTTTAAAAAAAAAATCTCAGTAGTAGCACGGAGTCTGGAATTGTGCCCGGTATATGGCAATAGGCTCACCCCCTATTACATGGGACTCATAACATAAATAGTCTGACTCAATGGCGTGATGGTTCAATAAAGTGACAAAAACGCTTGTGGGTCCGATTCTTTGCTCCCAAGTGTTAAGTTGTCTCACCCGTATCTGCTCCAGCACGGTATCGATGGATGGCGTGCAATGTCGCCTGCACGCCTCCAGGTACTCGGCAGCCAGCTGAGATTTTGTCGTCGTTGGCACTGTGGACAAAGAAACGCAAAAATTAATAATATTATTACTATTTTTTAGCCGGAATACTACCACTTTATTGTTGACGGGGAAAAAAGTCATCGAATTCTACTCCTCTTACTAACTACTACTACTACTCTTCCCACTTATCGGGTAAGACACGATGGACTGTCAGTATCTTACTGATTAATGTTATTCGATGAAAATCAACTAAATGAACGTCACTAGTTAAATCTGTATTATCGACAGCACTAGCTGTCATGTTGACGATGTCATCTGTCAAATGTGACAGATTAGTAAGTTTCCCGCGCAAAGAGTTGTAACGGGCATTCGGTTTGGAAGTTTTGAACAAGCATTATGCTATTTCTTATGAAGCTGGTTCAGAAAAAACTATTTTTGAATTGAAGTATTGAGTTTTACTTAAACTAAAAACCACCCCTGTATGTATGTATTCAACTCTGATGTCAGGTCTAAACTTTTTTTTAAGCGGGGTATTTCATCGGATGACTTCTCCCGCCTGAGTGAGGCGGGAGGGAGTGTCAGACTCTAACTGACTAAAAACCACCCCGTTCCTTCTCCTGCACGTCGAGCCGGAGCCCCGGTAACCTGTTAGGTTCTCCGCGACTCCGAATCGGCATCAGCCCTGTTGGGCCCCATCCGTGGTGGTCTGGTTGTTCTTTGAGGCGCGCGCGGAACGCAACGCGCCAAGGTACGTGGTAAAAGTACGATTGTAACTATAGAATATGGGGTAAGTCTGGGAGAGCCAAGCTTCGGCACGAATGGGCCGGCTCCAGATACCACGGCCGAACAGAAAACCATAGTGAAACAACGCTTGCGTTGTCTTTCGTCGTATGAGTGAGGTCACTGGAGACCCAATACGGCCCCCCCCCCTTTCCCCAATCCCTGAATTCCCAACCATCCTCAAATTCCTAATCCCCAAAAGGTTGGTAACGCACTTTGACGCATCTGGTGTTCCAGGTATCCTTGGGCGACGCCGATTGCTTACCATCAGGTGATCCGTCTGCTATATATAAAACTATAGATCGTACATTTCCATACCATACACAATTGCAAGTGGAACATCGAACCAAATGTCCGCATAACTTGAAAGCCCCATAAAATATTAAATGCAGTTGTAAAATATGACGTCACTGTCATCTTTCAGTGGGATATAAACCCAGATCTTTGCATATTACTTGAATGGGAGCTGTGACGTCATCGACACACTCAGGGTAAGCACATTAAACCAGTTTTAAAAGAATGACTCATATAGTACGTACTTGTGATATGGGTCAGTTGACATAAAGCTTATAATGGGGTCACCCTATTTTCTTTCAAGAACGAACTTGAGTTTACTTCTTATTATTAAGCACATACATACGAGGGTAAGTTAGCCTTTTTATGGATCGCCATGAATGTAAGATATCAACGTGAAAAGGTCAAACAGATGTGTACTAAATCTGCCTAATTTTTATTTTAATGTCCGTCTGGTAGATTACTATTAAATCATTAGACACGTATTTTTTATTTCCTTACAGAACCGAATACTTTCGACGACATATTGATTTGAAATTGTATCTAAGTATTGTTTTATTATACGACATAATAAAAAACTACGTGTCTAATATTTTTTCATCACCTAACTTACGAACTAATTACATTTTTAATTTTCATACCCTGTCATCATCTCAATTCTACATAATCAACGATCTCGGGAACGGTTCCATAATAATATTACAGCCATATGAAGTCTGAATGCCATACTACAGTCCTGCTAATACCACAAAGGATGAAGCGTGATAAAATACAATTGCATTGGATATACAATAACAAAAACAGTGTCAGAGATCCGTTATCGCGTACATTGTAAATGAAGTAAGGGCGATTACACAGTATATAGATCGGATGGTTCATTCAATAGTCTGATGGTTCAATGACAGCCTCGTTGGTCGAGAGATCGCAATTGCGACTGCCGGGCAAGGGGTCTCGAGTTCGATTCCCGGTTCGGTCAAAGTATTACTGAATTTAAAAAAAAAATCAGTTGTAGCACTCCCATTGGGTAAATAGAGACAATGGACCACCAAACACCACAATTGGGTAGTTTCAAGAATATCAAAACTAAAAATCTAATTAGTCCATCAGTTAGATAATGAAAAAATATTAGATACGTATTTTTTAATTTTGTCGTATTAAGTTGAAATACTTAGATAAAATGGCGCTAAGTTTAGGAGTGGGAGGTGGTTACGTCATAACGTGCTACAAAATGTGGCACGCTGTGACGTCACACGATATTTCAAATTAATATAGCGTCGAAAGTATTTAATTTTGTAAGAAAAGAAAAATTACGTGTCTAAAGTTTTAAATTACTTTACCAGACGGACATTAATATAAAATTTAGGAAACTACTCTATTCTGGCATACCTCTCATCATCATCATCAACAGCCGAAAGACGTCCACTGCTGGACAAAGGCCTACCCCTAAGTCTTCCACATTTGGCTACCTCTACATTCATAAAACTCGTCATGCCTTGACAAAATGATTAAGCATCCCTTATATCCACGCCCTAACATTGAGTGGAGTTATCAATATAAAGCACTGTATGACTTCAGCGCCTGACCTCGCATGCTATGTCAGGGTCATGTTAGACGAACACAACACCACGTGGAAACACATACTTTATTTTCTTTTTTCATGTAATAGGGCGAGCAACGGATGATCCTGGAGATTTAAGAGGCCCGCTTCTCATGCATTTTTTTTAAGGGAAATCATCGAATGACTTCTCCCGCCTGGGCGAGGCGGGAGGGAGTGTCAGACTCTTACTGACTAAAAACCACCCCGTTCCTTCTCCTGCACGTCGAGCCGGAGCCCCGGTAACCCGTTAGGTTCTCCGCGACGCTTCTCATGCATGAGAGTGCGAGTTCCAAATCTACCGAACAGCAAGAACCAATGTGACTTTTTCCGAGTTAAATGTACTTTCTTAGATTATTTAGACACCACTGACAAATGGTGAAGGAAAAAATCGTGAGAGAAACCTGGGTTAATAATATTTTTATGGCATAAGCCGGTAACCTAGCAAACGGATCACCTGATGATAAGCAATCGGCGTCTCCCACGGACACCTGGAACATCAGAGGCGTTACAAGTGCGTTACCGGCATTTTGGGGATTAGGAGTTTGAGGATTGTTGGGGATTGGGGAGATTGGGGAAGCAGGGAGGGTCATTGGGCCTCCGGCATATACTTAAACCTTCTCCTAAGTGTTACAAAAAAGTCGTTGTTGATTTAAAATGCCATGTTTTGCCTTCCTCGATAAATGGACTATCCAATACAAAACGAATTATTCAAATCGGACCAGTAGTCCCTGAGATTAGCGCGTTCAAACAAACAAACAAACTCTTCAGCTCAATAATAACAAGTATAAGATAAAAAGTATACTATATCAGACAACGTCTTCTCTTCAGTCAACATTTAAAACTACATTCACTTCAGATCAATAAAAATGTTTATAAACAAATATGGATTCCACTACAAAATACTCCCATCGACAATTACATACAGGTTGTTATGAATAGTAAATAGTAAACACGAAGCCAAGGGTTTCCGCAACTAGATGACCTCATCGCTATGACCTTGAGTCGTTCGAGTCTATTAGGGGTTGGTTAATTATACTCTAGCAGTAGTTCCCAACCTGTGGTCCGTTGACGACAAAATATCGTCTTCGAAATTCTTGATTTCTTTATAAAAACTTTGTTCTTTACTTTTTTTAAGGGGGTAAATCATCGAATGACTTCTCCCGCCTGGGTGAGGCGGGAGGGAGTTTCAGACCTTTACTGACTAAAAACCACCTCGTTCCTACTCCTGCACTTCGAGCCGGAGCCTCGGTAACCCGTTAGGTTCTCTGCGGCTCCGTATCGGCATCAGCCCTATTGGGACCTATTCGTGGTGGTCTAATGGCTCTTTGAGGCCGTGGAACGCTATGCGCCGTACGCTCGGGTCTGGTTCTGGTCGGGCGGCGAGCCACCCATGCTCGCTGCCCGCAGGCCCGCGCTTACAGTGGCCTTACATACACATCACACTAAGACTTGAGACAACAGTTTATGGATCACACATCGAGGATATCGGACCCGATACAAGTTGAGTAGCAACAGGCCCGTCCAGCCACAGCGCCAACCGTACAGCAAAATCAAAAAACAAAAACCACAAGATAACACATCTGTGTAATATCCATGGTTAAAGCTTGAATTGAGCTCATGTCAAAGGAGACGACCGAGAAAAGCCACTTACTTTTATAATCCAAAAGTCCATATTTTTATTAGAATGATCCCCAACTCCAACGACTTTAGAGAAAATCTTAGATACATGAAAAAATTCGCCTGGTATCTTAAGCCTTTGACTGCCAACAGAAAACTGTTGAGGGTAAGTCCTCCGCTAGCGTGCCCCATACCTTGTCCCCCATGGCGTTCAAAGTGTTAAACATTTTTTTTTAAAGAGTGATAATGGAGTTTCTTCCTCGTATTCCTACATTCGGAACGAGCACCTAGCTTCACTGAGAGACTGAGAGAAAATTCAATTTTGACATTCAAAAGTACCTAATGAAGGATTAATTTAAAAAGAAACATTGACTTTGAATAATGTAAAAGTGGTCCTTGACCACGAAAAGGTTGGAATCCTCTGAGCCATTGGAATGAATGGCTTCAAAGAAATGTACTTTTTGCTAGCTTATGTAGGCGAGCTTAAGTACCGATATGAGTTCACGAGTCAAGTGACTCATGTAGTACAGGGGTTGTCCAGTCAAGTAATGGTAGCGTAAACTGAACGGGTGGCATTTAATTTGGTATCGTCATTAGCTTTTATAAATCTATACAGATAAATCAAATTAAGTGTTATACGATACACATACCAAAATAAACTCGGTTTGTACTGGCTAACCTCTGAAATGGCTGGACCGATTTGGACAGGATTTTTACTGGCAGGTAGCTTATGTGTTAGGACTAAGGAGTAACAAAGGCTAT